CACACACACACACACACACACACACACACACACACATGGATATTTTCTGCCCACAGCTGTTTTGGTGGGAGCTCTGTCTGACCTGCACCAGCATGAGCCTGCATCTGTATCGCACCATCGCAGAGGCATAAAGGAGTTAGCGTGCCTTCAACGAGATGTGTCCTGTTCCACCTGGTGGACATGAATGCTCCTTATCAGATCACGCAGCTCAAACATTACATTCTGCGGATCAGACATTTCAACTAAAACAGACACAGAAGCCTTCGTAGCAGAAAGGGCTTTGAACACGGTAGGAAAAAGTCAGAAAACTGATTTATGTTCTTGTCTCGAGTTCACTGGGAGACGCCAAAGGTGAGAAAAAAGACACGAGCATTTTAACATGAAAGACAATCACATCTCACTCCAATTGACCGTCTGTGGAAAACCTGATATGAGCAGATGTTGGGAAAGATGGAGATCTGAGTGTGTAACAGTTGCATGTTTTCATTTTCAGCATTGCACGGCTGACTTCGAAAATGTTTTGCGTGATATGGACCAGACAAGAACAATTTCTCATCTGTCAACATACTTACAAACTCGTTCTGCTGCTGCACTGCTTTACATCTGACTGTGGGTGGCGGTTTGGGTATATACAGTCTGTGTATAGGTACTCGAGCATATTGTATGAGAGGTTTAAAGTAGGTCAACAATAGTGGCATCTGAGGTGATGCACAAAAGGGTTTAGGTTAGAAGTTGGGTTCACACTTTTGGATCATTGTGGAACCAAAGATCAAAAGTAAGTTTTTGTGCTTTTGTCTGACAAAATTGGGGATATTAATGTTTATGTATAACTCATATTACATATAAAAGTAGTTTCCACCATAACAACAGTGTTTAAACTCGTTTTAGCACTTTGTTGCCGGGCAAAGTTAAAGGTTAAAACTCACTTTAGCTCAGTGGCCACACACAGCCCAGTTTGATCTGTCGTGGGCCAACCCTGTAAAACCGAACACATGTGAGATTATAGAGTATAATTCCTCTTTCTTTTAGTGAAAATAAGTTTGTATGCATTTCAAATTCAGTAAAACAGATGATGAACAGGCTAAGATTTTTCTTTTTTTTAAGTGGAGGTTCAACACCCAAGTTTCTCCACAATCAGCCGGTCTGCTGTCATCAAATCAAAGAATTGCATCAACACGGCTCCCTGGCTGAACCACCTTACTTTTGGGCTACGGCAGCTTTGTCTGTTCAAAAACAGTATAACCAGTGAAGATGATGATGATTCAGGATAAAATGAACAATTCAGACAACCACACGGAGAATGTGATCCCTTTCTATAGGACTTGTAACACAAGTTACAAAACAAAATGAAGCAGTCGTTCTATGCAGTGTTTCTATTCTGCAAAAACCTGCACAGAAGCCTTTCAAAGTAAAAGACATCAAAATGTGTTTAATATAGTTCTGAACAGATAAATTAGACTGATTGGTATTTCCTTCATTTCATGCACTTTTTATTTTATGCACAACCTGAAAAATAAAAGAAATAATTTGGCACAGCCCAGGAAATAAAGAACACTCAGTGCAACATACAGTGCAATAAGTAAAATAAGATAACATAAGTAGTAATAAGAAATGTGACGGGGTAAAACGTCCATCCTCACTTATATGAAGTATGAAAATAGGAAATGTCTGCTGTGAAAATCCGAGCCCTGCGCGTAATTGTTTTGTTTTTTTATGCAAAAATTTCTCTACATACAAATTATATTTTATTATTTCGTGAAAGATTAATTTCCGAGGACACACAACATCCCCTAATATAGTAAGAACAAGGAATGTGGACGGGTCTCAACCAGTGAAGCACTGAGCGTTTGACCCTGACCAGTCTCTCTAAGAAACTCTCCTAATTGGCTACTTCCACATGGACCTTTGCTTTCTTTAGAGCTGCAACTACTCGTTTATTTCATTGAAATCAGTCCAAATTGGGGTGGTTTACAATTGACACAACGAGTTTGGCATGACCTTTTCTCCTTGCTGTAAATGGGTACTCATTGAATCTGAAGGGGGAGATGTGGTGCTGGAGGGTGGGAGGTGGCTTCGGGGGGGGTGGGGGTGGAGGAGTGTGGTTGCATTAGGTGGGGTGGGGGGGAGGCGAAGGAGGGATTGGGTGGAAATCACAGCGGTGAAAATGGCAGTGCAGTGAAAGAGGGGCCTGATTGCATTGGGACAGCATGTGCGAGGGAGCAGCATGCTCAGCCCAATCAGAGCGACACAAGGAAAAAGTGCTCTTATCAACGAGTAATGGCCCACTTCACAATCACACAGGCACAAAACTGTTCTATTTAATGCTGATTGCAAAAACTGCTCCCCTCCCCCCCCTCCCATTTCTGAACCGCATGACTCCCCGAGATCTCCCTGCCACCTCCCAGCTTACAGCCAAGACCCTTTCCTGAATGGAATTTATAATCACCCCTCTTCCATTTCCACGCTAATTGTTATTTTAAGACCTGCGTTGTGTATTAGGTGTTTAGTGCTGGTGAAATGTCTGCCGTGATTACTGTGTTTATTGTGAGCGTGAAGGCAGAGCCATCTTAATCCCAGCAGCTTGACAGGTACTGAAAGTTCAAACAGGAAACTCACCTGCCCGGCTCGTTCACCTTCAGTGTACATCTGTACGTAGAAAGGTTATTGATGAAGTTCCACAAAGGATGCTTCCCATGCAGCTCTGATGACTGATGACAGCATGTCATTCCTTTCAACTTCAGTCCCTGTTTTTTAATTTTTTTGTATACGAAACTGTATCTTTAACGAGAACAATGATCTATCTGCCTGTCTAGAGAAAAAGATCAATAGATGTGTGCACTACCTGCACAGGTACAGCAAATATCTAGTCAGCCAATCACCTAGCAGCAACTCAACACATTTAGGTGTGCAGACATGGTGCAAACAACTTGCTGAAGTTCAAACCGGCCGTGACTCTGAATGTGGCATGGTTGTTGGTGCCAGATGAGCTGCTGATTTAATGGAGTTTTCTCACACACAGCCACCTCCAGGTTTTACAGAGAACAGTCGAAAACAGAAAAAATCATCAGTGAGTGGCAGCTCTCGGGGAGAAAAGGTCGTGTTGATACAAGAGGTCAGAGGAGAATGGCTAGACTGCCTCGAGCTGAAGGGAACCACTTGCTGCAACCAAGGTAT